CCAGGGGAATCCGGGCTGGGCAAGTCCACCCTGGTCAACAGCCTCTTCCTGACGGATATGTACAGAGACCGCAAGCTGCTGAACGCCGAAGGTGAGGGGGGGACCATCCCAGCCATGGGGTGCCCTGGGTGTCCCAGGGGGGTGGCAGAGCCCCATGCTGCTCCCAGGGGGCTGCAGTCCCCTGTCCAGCCGGGCTCCTCTGGGTCTCTGGAGCCATGTGCAGCACCTTGCCAGCTGCCTGCCGATGCTGGGGACCACTCCAAGGCAGCAGGGACCCCCCCTGCCTGGCACGGGGACCCCCTGCAGGGGCTTTGTCCCTGCTGGGAAAACAAGCCCCAGCTTGTTGGGGATCAGCTGGAGCCACAGCGAATCCAGGCGGCTGCGGGCAGTTGGGGTCCAGGACACAGTGCTGGTTCAGCTGCAGCCAGTTTTTGAATTAAAATCGTCCAAACTTGCCCAAATCCCCAGGGGTTCGAGGTGGTTATTTGACTTGTTTTGAGGCGGTTGTTTGATTTGTTTCCGTTGCTCGGAGCAAAAGCCAAAATGCGTGTGGCCGTGCGCACATGATACAACTGGTGCATCCTTGGGGACGGAGGGACACGGAAGGGTCCCGGGGGTAAAGGGCCATGTGCAGTCCTGGAGCTGTGGGGTCACACGTGGGGGTGCAGGGAGCCGCAGGTACTCCTGCAGTGATGCCTGGCCCCAGCAGACCCCCAGGCTGTCACGGGGTGGCAGTGGCACAGCACCGAGGGAGGGGTGCACGTCCATGTTGGGATGCGGGAGGCTGTGGCACGGAGCATCCCATCTTGGTGCTGGACCCTGATGCTTATGGGGGCTGGTCCTGCAAAGCCACCCCAGCCCCCTGGGGTGGAGGGTGACACCCGGGTGCTACAGTGTCTCCCCGTGTCACCCCCATCGTCCCTCGTCTGGCGTGCCCCCCGTCACTGTGTCTCCTGCCGCTGCAGAGCGCATCACACAGACGGTGGAGATCACCAAGCACGTGGTGGACATCGAGGAGAAGGGCGTCAAGCTGCGCCTGACCATTGTGGATACGCCGGGCTTTGGTGACGCCGTCAACAACACTGAGTGGTGCGTCCCAGAGAGGGGTCGTAGCAGGGTCTCCCCGGGGCTGGGCAGCACTGCCATGGGTGCAGGTCTGAGGGTGGGATGCCCATGGCTCCTTGGGGTGGGATGCTGAGGCATGGGAGCTGTTGAGCTGGGGACCCAGGGAAAGCCTGGGGGTCCTGCAAAGGGGCTCTGATGGTCACCCCCCTGTCCCTGCAGCTGGAAGCCGGTGGCCGACTACATCGACCAGCAGTTCGAGCAGTATTTCCGTGACGAAAGTGGCCTCAACCGGAAAAACATCCAGGACAACCGCGTCCACTGCTGCATCTACTTCATCTCGCCCTTTGGCCATGGGTATGGGCAGCCCCTGCCTGCGTTGCCAGGATGGAGGGTGCTGGGGAAGAGGCTTGGTGGGATGGTGCTCACTGGGGTGTCCCCCCCCCCGCACAGGCTCCGGCCCCTGGACGTGGAGTTCATGAGAGCCCTGCACCAGAGGGTGAACATCGTGCCTGTGCTGGCCAAGGCTGACACTCTGACCCCCACCGAGGTGGAGCGCATGAAGAACAAGGTATGGGGAGGGTGGCCCAGCCTGGAGCCGTCCCAGCAGGTCCCTGGGGATGGGGGTGCCCTGGGGGCTGGGGTTCCCCCTCGGCTGGCAGCTCTCTCCATCCCCTGCCTGGACTTTTGCCATGCAGCATCCTCCATGCTTGCAGCACTGTAGAGGACCCTGTGGCCCATGTGGTCACCAAGGACACATCTCCCCGGTGCTCAGCTGGGGGACGGAAGGGTGTGGGGGACTGTGCGTGACACCTAGTCTGGGGGGTCCTGCAGGGAATAGGGTTTTGTGGGTTCCTGGGGGACACCGGGGGTCTGTGGTGCTTCCCACCCCCTTTCCAAGGGCCAGAGCCCTGCCCTCAGTGGGGCTGTCTGCCCCCAGATCCGGGAGGAGATTGACCACTACGGCATCCGTATCTACCAGTTCCCTGAGTGCGACTCGGATGAGGATGAGGAGTTCAAGCTCCAGGACCAGGCACTGAAGGTGGGTCTGGCTTCTCCAGGTCCATCGTTGGGGGAGCAGAGCCCCACAGCTGAGAGGGCACACTGTCCCAGGGTACCCTTGGGACTCCTTGGGACCACAAAAGCCCTCCAGCAGCATGGTGTGGTTGGGACATATTGTCACCAAGACCCCACAGGTGCCACCTGCAGCTTGATGGGATGGGGCTGGGGTAGAGAAACCTGTGCTGTCACTGCTGCCATCCCAGATGGGGCTCTCCTGAGCCAGGGCTCCCAGGTATCTTGGCAAACGGGTGCTGGATATGGCCAAGGAGATGTGCGTGGAGGGCTGTGGGCCATGGTGGGCAGGACAGAGCCCTGCTAACCCCTGCTGTCCTCTTGCAGGAGAGCATCCCCTTTGCCGTCATCGGTAGCAACACGGTCGTGGAGGCCAAAGGCCGGCGCGTCCGTGGGCGCCTCTACCCCTGGGGCATCGTGGAAGGTAACGCTGGGCCGTGTCCCCGGTGTCCTACCAGCCCCGGGAGGATGGGACATCACGTGCCCCATCTCCACGCTGCTCAGTCTGGGGGTGCTCAGGGGGACGCAGGGGGCTGGCTGTAGCCCCCTGACCTCAGGCTCCCCCGCAGTGGAGAACCCGTCCCACTGTGACTTTGTGAAGCTGCGGACGATGCTGGTGAGGACCCACATGCAGGACCTGAAGGACGTGACACGGGAAACCCACTACGAGAACTACCGCACGCAGTGCATCCAGAGCATGACCCGCATGGTGGTGAAGGAGAGGAACCGCAAGTACGGGGCCGGGAGCGGGGTGCCAGGCTAGAGGGGTGTGGGGGGAGGGTGTCCTCTCTTTGGGGTGACCCCAGCCCATTGCAAGAAGTGATCTTGGGGGGTTGGTGTTGTGTGTGGGTCCATCCCAGGCATTGTGGTGGGCTGGGTGAGGAAGCCTC